CGAAGGCGCTTTTCCAGCTCATCGGTGGCGTTAGAGTCCCGAAGTTGTTCTATTTCCACGCGAGTTGTATGATCCTATATACCCGAGTCAGCGGGATCATGCCACGAGATGAAACATGAATCATATTGACCTGGTCCCATTGAAGCCATTGCTCAGTCAAGGAGGAAATTGATTGCTATAGGTATAGAATGATTAGAACAATGTAGTCAACACCAATTTATAGCGAGACTCACTGCCATGTCAAAAAGGTACGTGCCTCGGTATGTTGGTAATGTGAAGGTGGACAATCACACACGCTGATCGGGTCCCCGCTGTTATCCACCTCCGCCCCATAGCCCTTGCAATGTTTCTGCCTATTTTCAATCTCATTCTTGTTTCCTTTGTTTATTTGCATTTTGCATGCTTTTGGTGAGTTGCTTAGTTCAACTCTCAGCAATGTCACTGTAACCCCATGTTATCTGACCCTACGTACATCCACCCTCTCACCGCACCGCATACGATGGAGAAGACCGCATCCCGACCGTCCCGGAAGGATACCCTCTTGACTCGACGATATATTGAAGGCCTGATAGCTGAGGGCAAGCATGTCATAATCTTCGAGGGCCGTGTCCTGAAGGTAGACTCATTCATCAGATATCATCCCGGAGGGGAGAAGCCAATCAAGCACATGGTGGGCAGGGATGCGACAGATGAGATCAACGCGTATGTTTTGGAACGGCAAACACCACCACCTCTGATCAGTCTAATTGACACCGGTCTCGTATAGGCTACACTCCGAAGAAGCCCGCAAGCGCATGCACTCATACCAGATTGGACGAATTGAAGGGACATGGATCAATTTCCGACCCCCGATCCAGGGCGGCACGTTCCGTGCTTATGCCGAAGACACGTGCGCGAGTGATGAGGATTCAACAGCACAAGAATGCTCCAGTGGCTCCAGTCAAGATGGATCAGTTCCTCCCTCGCCGATATTCGATGCGGTCGACTCGAAATCCACAGTTCGTCAACGGAAACCGGCCGGATCTGCTTTGACCGACCAACCTCAAGCCAAGCCTGCCTTCTTGGATGCGAGAACACGGGAGGAAATCGTCTTGGACACTGCCAAATACCCCTCCTTGGATACCGCAAGTCAGGAAGAGATCAAACGAAAATACCGCGAACTGAACGAGCGTATCAAGGCCGAGGGACTTTACGACTGCGACTACTCTTGTTACTTCGTTGAATGTTGTCGGTATACCCTTTTTGCCGGTCTTTCCTATATGTTCCTCCGCATGGGATGGTGGGCGACCTCGGCATTCTTCCTCGGCTGTTTCTGGCATCAGCTTGTTTTCACCGCCCATGATGCTGGTCATATGGGCATTACACACAATTTCCATGTGGATACCCTTATTGGAATGTTCATCGCAGACTATCTCGGAGGATTAAGTCTCGGGTGGTGGAAACGAAGCCACAACGTTCATCACATCGTGACCAATGAGCCAGAGCATGACCCGGATATCGAGCATATCCCATTCTTCGCTATCTCGCACCGCTTCCTCACGAGCCTACGGAGTACCTATTACGATCGAATCATGACCTTCGACGCCCCGGCTCGGTTTTTGCTCAAATTCCAGAATTACTCTTACTACCCTATTATGATGCTCGCTCGGTTCAATCTCTATGCCTTGAGTTGGGAGTATCTACTAAAGGGCCAAGCTCCTAGACGAGGCCCTGCTTGGTGGCATGTTTGGTTTGAGCTGGTCGGACAGGTCTTCTTTTGGACCTGGTTTGGCTACGGTGTGATGTACAAGACGCTTCCCGATGCAAGCAGCCGCATCATCTTCCTCCTCGTCTCACATATTGTTTCCTCGCCACTACACGTTCAAATCACCTTATCCCACTTCGCTATGTCAACCGCCGACCTAGGAGTCGGTGAGTCCTTCGCGCAGAAGATGCTCCGTACCACTATGGACGTCGACTGCCCAACATGGCTGGATTTCTTCCACGGTGGTTTGCAATTCCAAGCCATTCACCATCTCTACCCGCGGATCCCGCGTCACAACCTACGTCGTACGCAGAAGTTTGTCATCGAGTTCTGCCGCGATACTGGTATCCCTTATGCCATCTTTACCTTCTACGATGGTAACAAGGAGGTTATCAGCCGGCTTGGCGACGTCGCGAAACAGGTCCGCCTCATGGAGGAGTGCCGCAAGTCCATTGCCGAGGGCGGAGCCTTCTCAGATCACCACTGATACGAAGCGTCAGTTCCTTGCTGGCCAAGTGAGTTCCCTGTGTGAACATGTTATGATGACTGTCTATACCGCATTCTATATGTGTTGAGGTATATTAATGAATTACTTGAATGCGTTCTGTTTCAATGCGTCGTGGCTCTTCTATAGAAGCCCAACAAATTTTATGTAAATTACATGCACAGTCATTACTAGATATCAAAAATAGAGAATGACCAAAGCTGTTATGCCGCATTGCATCCATACAAGCCAGCTTGATCCTTTCGTGTGATTAGCCAGGCAACCCACCGCCACGCGCCATCTTTTTCGCGTGCTGCTGTCGGCGGTTATGATTCGCCCGACTACCCTTATTCTCTTCCTTCCTCTGTCTCGACACCGTAGTATCTGGCTGCCCTTGGCCACCAGACGAAGGATCACCACCACGGCCACGACCGCCACGACCGCCGCCACCCCGCGCCCGACCACCACGGCCACCGCCTCCTCTACCACCCCGCGAACCAGCATGGCCAGAGGACTCGCCCTCATCAGAACCCTCGTCTCCATTCTCACGAGGCTGCGGCCTCCTGTAAGACGTAGGACGCAACTCAGGCTGGTTAAGTGATCCAGCACCAGCCAACGCGCCAGCATCCATGGCCAGCCGATCTTCGAGTTTCGCGAGACGCTTGGGATCACGCGTTAGCATGAGAGCCCAGCCCTCGATAGCCTCGTCGGTCATTTCGGTCTCGCGCTTCAACGATGCGCGCGGCTGGGAGCGGCGGGTCGCCACGTCGCGGGCGAAGAGTCCTGGATTGGACTTGTATGTTCGGAAGAGAATTGTTTCGGTATCGGCTGCACGGCGGTTGCGCTCGGCTGGATCGGCTTCGCCGTCTGCCCCACCTGTGGCTCCGTCGATAGCGCCGCCTACGTCGGCTGCGTCGTAGGTGTCGTCGCGCTCGTCGTCGTCTGAGTCGAATGTTGCGAGCGCGGAGAGGATCGCTGCTTTGTTTGCGGCGTGTTTGCTGTGGTCTGAGAGGATTATGTCGGCTGTTTGGTCTAGGTCGGCGCGGCCGAAGTACAATTTTCCTTGCGCCTCGCCAGAGCGGCTTAGTTCGGCGATGTCCACGTCTTCGTCGAAGATATTCTTGCGGGCTGGTAGTGGTGCCAACGTAGGTGATTCGGGTGGTGTTGGCTGGGGTGACATATGGCTATGGTGAGGTTCTGCTGTGGGAGGTAGTTGCTCGGATCGATCTAGAGACTGGAGCTCAACAGGAAGAGAGTCGTCGAGAAGGTGGGCGACGATGGTTTCCGGGTTGTCATTGTAGCAGTCCAGTAGCCGTACAACAAAGCCCGAGCCAAGATCAGGGAAGAGGTCTTGTACTTGAGTGACTAGTGACATCTTGTGTGCGTGAAGTTCTCCTGAAACGATCGGATGCGAGGATACTTCTTTTCCTTTGTCCACTTTCTTGCGTCTTTGATACCGATGGTGTAGTGACTTCGATTCCACCTGATAGGTGCGCAAGCTGGCAAGAAGATCTTGCCCCCGTTTCTGGGGGTGAATGCTCAGATACTTGTCCAGCCGAATAAGCAAGTCCGAGCTGCAGATGAGATCAGAAAGTAGAGTTGCTTCCCTCTTCATTTTTGGCGCTCCCACTCGAGCAGCGGCTTTGAGGCTGAACAGCTGATCCAATAACGAAGACAAATTGACTGGCTCCTTCAATAAGGAGACGAGCCCGACGTAGATGTTAGCAACGAGAATCTTACGAAACTCCTCCCGGGCACCTCTTGCCTGGTAGGCTTCCGATATCGTATCCAGGAAGTCGGAGCCTGCCATGAGCTCCTGGCCACACGCTGGCAGCACTGAAGCAAGGATGGTCAGACGGCGGATGTCAGAAATTACTTCGGGTTTTGACGATGAGTTGGCCGAAGAGAGGTTCTTAATCACAATTGCTTTTGCTCTCTCCATACTGGAAGTGATCTTGCCCTGGTGCAGATCCCAGGCACTTGATAATGACGTCTTCAGGGCCGCGCTAGAAGGGTAACAGCAACATAGATTGCCGAGAAGCCTCCAGTCCAGAATTCCATCTGGTGGATTGGAGAGATCGAGTATGTATCTTCTTGTCGCCAGAAAGCACAGCTTCCGAAGCTGTCGAGCTTTAGGTCCACTTTGTAGACTAGAATCCCCCGCAGCCGTATATTGGTAGTAAGATCCCAGGAATGGGGGTATTGATGGATCTTCAGCTGCTGCAACCTTAAATTGTTGATCTGATGCATTCAGGCGGATCCCCAACAGGGCCATCCATGCATCTAGACAAGATTCCCAGTCATTTGATGGGATTGTCCTCCGCACTGCGGGGGATGGCACTGGAGCCAGCGCCGGAAACTCCGCCATTGGGGCGATCTAAGGTGGTTATGGCTGGGAATATGAGAGTAATACAAGGGGAGAAAAGCAAGAACAAAAGGAAAAACGCGTAGCCACCTGTCAGCCCTGATTATCACCTCGAATGCCATCACTTGGCGGACTCTTGTCCTCTTTTGGTGATGACATAAGCAATTACTGAAAGGGGACCTAAAGGAGTTTAGCGTGCGATAGCCGAAGCGCCAAGACTTTCGCACTGAACATTTTGGATATGGAATTCTCGATCCACATTACTCCAACAGCCATCATCACTTTACCGAGCCTAGTAGTTCAGGTCTTGACGGCAATCGCCTTTTAAATTGTGCGCGCTCCCTTTTTTCTGCTCTTGAAATTCCCTAATCGACTTACTAACCCGTTTCAGTCCATACAAATTCAAGATGTCTTTCCAGAAGCCCGAGAAGGATTTCGGCGAGGGCCCTGTACGTTGTTCCTGATCCAATGGTCACTGTCGCAATCGCTGCTACACCTTGATGCAGCTGTCGCTTTGTGCAATGTGTCCATAGACCTCGCCAGTGCAAACTAGGTACTAATTGCTTCTCCGCTCTACAGAAGGTCCACAAGATCCGCATCACCCTCACCTCCCGCAAGGTTGCCTCCCTCGAGAAGGTCTGCCAGGAGCTGATCGACCGTGCCCGCTCCAAGTCCCTCCAGGTCAAGGGCCCCGTCCGTCTTCCCACCAAGACCCTCCAGATCTCCACCCGTAAGACCCCCAACGGTGAGGGTTCCAAGACCTGGGACAAGTTCGAGATGCGCATCCACAAGCGTCTCATCGAGTGAGTATTTCCCGCCCATTCAGTTGTGGCAGTATCGCCGTGGTATAGCAGGTGCAGTTACTGACATTCTACTTAAGTCTTCTCGCTCCCACCGAGACCGTCAAGCAGATCATCATCAACATCGAGGCCGGTGTTGAGGTTGAGGTCACCATTGCCGCATAAATGCGCTAGGCTGGGCTTGCCTCAGGGAGGGATCGTGGACTGGCCAATTTGGAGTGCACAGCACGACTTTGGAGCTAGTCCTGGCCCGCATGACTTGTTTCGCGCTGCGGGGGATTCCGTTCGAACCTGGAATTTAAAAAATAAAAAATGGAAACATCTTGAAACAAAAAAGAGTCTCATTAGTGGACCTAGACCGTAAATTTGTGCGTTGAAAGTGAAATTAAAGCACTTCCAATTGCTACATGCGTAAATTGATTGTTGAGCTCCTAAGCGCCAGTCCCAATGTTCCGCACGCCCGGAACATGTTGCTTAGAATGAAACGTCATCTCAATCCATGAGACGTGTGATAGGATAACAATAAAATGAAGAAGGACAAGAAAATGCTCTCTCCGGGGATTAAAAGTCGAAACTGAGCCACTCCTGCTTGGGAGGTACTGCGGGAATGTTGCCGTCCTTGAAGTAGCCATTCTGAAGGAAAAACTGATATGCCTCAACGACTTCTGGTGTGTATTCCTCGGGCTTGCCGTGTGCGTCTTTCAAACCAGCTGCATCAGGAGGCCCGTTAGGGAAGTTGATCCGGACAAAGGTTATGTTGTCTTGCGGGTGAAGGTAGCACGGATGCTCGTTGATATACTTGACAGGGCGGCCCTTCCACATGACTAGTTGTTTAGTGGATGGGTTATGTCGAGTTTCGCCCTCCAGTTGTGGAAGAGGGTTGAGGTCTTGAGGATTTTCGATTTTGATGTATGCACGTGGGCCGGCGTTGGTACTCTGCACCGGCACGCCTTGAACTGCAGGCTGGCCAAAGGGAGACGGAGCAGGTTGTACAGCATTCTGGCCAAACCCACCCGCAGCAGGCTGATTCTGAGGTACCTGAGTGAAGGGAGAAGGGGCAGATGGAGCACCAAATGGGGCGGCGGCTGCCGGAGCTGACGGTTGGCCGAATGTCGTAGTGCCTGTCGGGGCTGAAGGTTGACTGAATGGGGCGGCGCCCGCCGGAGCTGAGGGTTGGCCGAATGGAGCAGCGCCTGCCGGGGCTGAAGGTTGACCAAATGGGCTCGGATTGGCAGCTGGCTGGCCAAATGGAGACGGGCCAGATTGTCCAGCGGTTTGACCGAAAGGCGACGGAGCAGGTTGTCCGGCGCTCTGGCCAAACCCACCACCAGCAGGCTGGTTCTGAGCTACCTGGGTGAAAGGTGAAGCGGCAGATGGAGCCCCGAATGGGGCCGCGCCTCCTAGCGCTGACGGCTTACCGAATGGGCTTGGGTTAACTCCTGGCTGAGCAAGAGCTGGCTGGCCGAAAGGTGTTTTGCCGAAAGCAGACTGACCTCCCAAGGTGGAGGTTTGGCCGAAGGCTGAGCTACCCAAGGCAGAAGTCTGTTTGAAGCCAGACGGCTGCGCTGGTGCTGAAGCCCTACCGAATCCGACTGACTGCCCAACTCCTGATGGCTGGCCAAATGTCGAGGAAGGAGCACCGAACGCTCCAGGTGCAGGACCAATGCTGGGTGTAGGCGCGGCCTGGCCGAATGGAGAGGGTTGGCCAAATGGTGCTGGAGCTTGGTTAACAGTCTGGGTCTTTCCCTCGATAATGTCCAGTCGATTAGGATGTTCATTCTTGCCGTCAACGATATATTTGACGGCACCATTGAGGTCATTCAGTGAGATTTCCATCTGTTGCACGCATTCTTGCCACAGAGCCGAGGCTTCTTGGACCGCTTCGTTCAGGTTACCGGCTGCTGCTAATTCATAATGGCGCAAGCGCATCTCTTCCATGCTGCGTTCGCGGTGAGCTCCGCCGAATAGCTGGCGCGCAACATCTCTGTGGGGCGCATATGCGGAGAAGATCCATTCCGGACGGCCCTGGCCAGCGGTCAAATCTTGCTTGATTTCGCTTGCCTTCACTACTGGGCTGCCTGTTGTCAGTTTGAATCCACTCAAGGCGCTGGGGATGCGACTTACTCGGCTACTTGTTGAGTCTGGTTTTGACCTGTTGTAAATTTGTCGTTAGGGTTTGGAAGAAGGCTAGCCCGAAGGGGGGGCATGTGGTTCACAGGATTGATCATAGTTTTGAACAGGGAAACATTCGTTGCACTTCAGACTCGAAGGAGTTTGGGGTAAACCCAGCAGGTAGAAGGGTAAGAGCAAGAGAAAGAGATGGGGGGAACAAATGAACATAGAGATCGAACAATCAATCTCACGACACAATATATGTCCAATAAATGGACTCTCCGCATTGAGCAACGCTGAATAAGAACAATCCAATTGAACGTACCTCCAAACCCTCCTGATAAAGCCCCGAATCGATTCCCCGATGGACCAGCAGTCGGTTTGCCAGGGTGCTCAAACTTGCAGCGATCTTCAAATACATTAGTGCCTTGATTTCTCTACACACAAGGGATTCATACCTCCAAACTTGCAGCGACCCTGCTGAAAAAAGTTGCATACCACCATCTTCGCGGTTTCGGTGGTTGCTCAACTGCTCCCCTCCAAAGCAAGGCCTGTATCTCAACGGCGTCTCTCAGATGAATCTGTGTCCTTCGATATTTGATCAAGCAATTTGAGAGAAAATCAAGAATAGGGTTGGTTGTCGCGAAGAGAGAAACACTGAACTCCTGTGGTTAGGACTTTTCGCGGAATTGGTCCGTATCTTATCGGAACGCCTACAAAACACTCACAGCATTCTTGTATAGCACGATTCTTTAATGTTTGAGAGTACGAGATTGGATTTTTATCACTTTATTCTTTGCCTCGAAATGAGATTAAAGGGAGTTGAGATATAGAAGTTCAGTCCAGCTCATGTAGTGGATGCAATCTCATTAACAAAGAGTTGTATATATTAGCACAGAACCGACAGAAAACAAAGTACCATGAGAAAATCATTCAAAGCCATTAAAACCATTAAAGCTGATTGCTATTTCATTTTTGAGTAACCAATAAACATTGAATCCAGTATAGATCACTGGTTGGGTATATCATCTACGTGTGTCGTATGCTCCCCCGAAGGTCATCCCAATTCAACCCATCGACCTTTTTGCCACCCAAGGATTCGAGCTCCGGGTTGAGTTGCCCAGTTCGCCCAGTTGCAAGGCGTCGCATCATCACAGTATCCTTAGCTCCAGAAAGGGTACTAGCGTTGCCCTGCAGTAATACGTGCTCAAACCACTGTTCTTCATCTTCATCAAGTGGAAGACCGACGAGTTCCATCGCACGTCTACTTCTGGTTTGGCCAGGGGTGGCCTTGTGAACAAATTCCACCAACTGCTCAAAAAAGCTCTGACGAAGAGTGTCGTCGTATTTGCGCGTGAAGTAGAATGCCTCGGTGAGGTTTGCTCGGGCGAGTGTATCGAAGAAAGCTTTGCGGATCTTTGTGCTTACAAGAGGAGGAGCCGCAGTGAGGTAGTAGGCGATTGCGAGGCTGTCATCATGCTTGGGAAGCTTTGTGAGGGTAAGAACGTAGAGAATCTCATCGGGAAAGGTAGGAATGAGCGAGGGTTCAGTCAGATGCTCCACTGCGCGCTATTATATCATGGAATTGTCAGAAGATGACCGCCCTCAAGATGGTTCACAACTCACCCTGAAATCGAGTCGATCCAAATGCCAAAGACCTTCGATGAAGAAACGGTACTTCTCTGGCAGGTGGCATTGTTGCGCAAACTGAGACGAAGCTTCTGGCGCAGTGCGGCAGTCCTTCAGGATGTAATAGATCAAGGACTGTTTGTGATGGATATCGAGGTCCGAGGAAACGATGTGGCCGAACAGTGTTCGGAGATCTGAGTTGGTCCTCGGCGGGTAGATCTTGGTCACTACAGAGAAGTGGTTGATTAGCCCGAGGCTTCAAGCGTAGAGCTTCAAGTCACAATACCTCCTTGGATGCCGACGAGTCCCAAGAGTCGATCGGCAAAGAGCTGGTCCAACGAGCGCCGGTTGGATAGAATCTGGTCAAAAACCTTTGGCTCATATGAATATTTCTTATTAAATGAGAAGGCCTGGTCGAAGCTCTCCCATGGAGCCATGCTGGGCATAATGAGAGAAGTGATGGTTTGTGTGAACAATTCCCAAGCTGATCCCCATGAAGCTCCGCGGAGGAGTAATTACCGTACGGTAAATTACAGCGGGACATGGCGGTGAAGGGCTTGTTGTGGCAGAACAGCGGACACTTTACCCGTTTGGGCACGAGGTAAACAACCCACTTTGAACTGACAAAACCTCCGCACAACACTATCGCCCCTCTCCATGCAGCAGACATCCCACTGATCTGTACAAAATGGCTTCAGTCGTAAAGGGCAGGGCTTCGCGCCGCTCTGCGCCCCGCCGGAGTTATGTCATTGAAGATACATCTGAATCAGAAGACCCCGGAAATGTAACACCAACACCCAATACGCACGATGACGATGACGATGACGAGGTCGAGGAGGAGTACACTCCAGTCCCTAAAAAAGCAAAGAGAGCGTCGAGCAAGAGAATGACAATAGACCCCGTCACACCTTCTACTGTGCGCGCTGCTAGCAAGACCCAAGAAGCGCCAACAGATGATTCCGATGCGATGGACACCGACACCGACGCGATGGACATGGATGCGATGGATATCGACGAAGAAAATGATGAGAACGACGAGGGAGTTAGTATGGCGTCAATGGAAGTAGATCCAGAATCTCCTTCCAGTAAAGCGGCGTTGAAAAGAAAAAGTATGGCTCATCCCCGCAAGAGTCACGGCTCAATCACACTCAAGCCGGCACAGGGCTCACTTCCAACTCCAGAGCCATCCCAATCGCCAGAGCCTCATGAAAGAGCGCACCGAGCAAGCGTGCCACCGTTGTCCGACATCACCGAATCTGCCGTGAATCAGTCGCCATCGAGACAATTGGAAGTGCCCACATCTCAAATTTCCATTATAAACCCGAACTCGACAGTCTTGGAGAGGCCTATGGACATTGTGGCCAAGTCTAGAACACAGGCCCCTCAAGCGCCCGAGGAGCCCGCGGCGCCCAAGCCCCGAATGATTATTGAGAACCTTATTCTGACAAACTTCAAGAGTTACGCTGGGCAGCAGATCGTTGGACCGTTCCACGCCTCCTTTTCATCTGTCGTAGGACCGAACGGATCCGGAAAGTCCAACGTGATTGACTCCCTCCTGTTTGTATTTGGTTTCCGCGCCAGCAAGATGCGACAGGGCAAAATCTCTGCGCTGATTCACAACTCTGCTCAGTACCCCAACCTTGCATTTTGTGAAGTCGAGGTTCATTTCTCACAAGTCCTCGATTTGCCCGAAGGTGGCCAGGAAGTGGTCCCAGATTCCCAACTGATTGTTTCGCGGCGAGCGTTCAAGAATAACACCAGCAAATATTACATGAACAAGAAAGAAACCAATTTCACCGCTGTGACGACCTTCCTCCGTGATCGCGGAATTGATCTCGACCACAAGCGGTTCCTGATTTTGCAGGGTGAGGTCGAGTCGATCGCTCAGATGAAACCCAAAGCCTCCAACGAACACGACGAAGGCCTCTTAGAATACCTGGAAGATATTATTGGAACCTCCAAGTACAAGACACCTATCGATGAAGCGGCAACAGAGCTCGAAGCTCTCAACGACGTATGCGTGGAGAAGAACAACCGTGTCCAGCACGTGGAGAAGGAGAAGACGGCCTTGGAGGATAAGAAAAACAAAGCGTTGGCTTACATACGTGAGGAGAACGAATTGGCACAGAAACAATCAGCGCTATATCAAATTTACATTGACGAGTGCAATGATAATGTTCGTGTTACGGAAGAGGCCATTCTCCAAATGCAGGAGCTACTCAACATGGAACTCGAGAAACACGAAGGAAACGAATCCGGTATCAAAGAGCTCGAAAAAGCCTACAAGAAGGGGGTTCGCCATTACGAGTCGATGGAGAAGGAGACTCAAACCTTGCTCAAGGAGATGGCCAAGTACGACAAGGAGTCTGTCAAGTTTGAGGAGAAGAAGAAATTCTTGCTCGGCAAACAGAAAAAGTTAGAGAAAGCCATGCAGACCAGCCGCCTTGCTGCTTCTGAATGCCAGAGCCTGGTTGAGAAGTTTACCTACGACATTGAGAAGAAGACTGCCGAAACCACTCAATTCGAGAAGGAGATGGTGACAGAAGAGAAGGAACTGAACTCCATCCGCGAGGGGCTAAAAGGCAAGACGCAAGGCCTATCTGACCAGATTGCTGAGAAGCAAAAGTCGCTGGAGCCATGGAACGCGAAGATCAACGAGAAACAGTCCGCAGTTGCAGTAGCTCAGAGTGAGCTAGATATCTTGCGAGAGCGTGGTAATGCGGGCGCTGTCCTCCTCGAAGAAGCACAGGGCAAGGTTGTTACCATCGAAGAGAGTCTGCAAGCCAAACAAAACGAACTCGAAGACCGACAAGCCCAGAAAGAGACCTTGGAGTCTGAAGTGGAGAAGCTCAAACATGACTTGAAGAAATACGCTGGTCGGGAGCCCGAGGTTCGTTCGCATGTCTCTAGTGCCCGTCAGAAAGCAGACGAGGCACGAGTCAGTCTCGCAAGCACACAAAACCGTGGAAGTGTCTTGACTGGGTTGATGCGTCTCAAGGAATCTGGCCGTATCGATGGTTTCCATGGCCGACTTGGTAACCTAGGCACAATTGACGAGAAGTATGATGTGGCTATTTCTACAGCTTGTCCTGCTCTCGATAACATGGTGGTGGAGACCGTGGAAGTCGGCCAGCAATGCATCGATTATTTGCGCAAGAACAACCTTGGTCGAGCGAACTTCATTCTTCTTGACCGTCTTCCTCGCCGTGACATGGCATCGATCTACACACCTGAAAGCGTTCCTCGTCTCTTTGATCTTGTCAAGCCGAAGGATCCCAAGTTCGCCCCAGCTTTCTACAGTGTGATGCAAAACACGCTGGTTGCTAAGGACTTGGAGCAGGCGAATCGTATTGCCTATGGTGCTCGCCGGTGGCGAGTAGTGACAGAAGATGGCCAGTTGATTGATGTGTCAGGAACAATGAGCGGTGGTGGTACCCGTGTTGCCCGAGGCGGTATGTCCTCAAAGCAAGTCGCAGACACCACAAAGGAGCAGGTATCTCGCTTGGAATCCGATCTCGAGGAACTGGAAAGGAAATTCCAGGCTTTCCAGGAAAAGCAGCGACACGTGGAGTCTCAGATGAAGGAAAGATCAGAGGAAATCCCACGCTTAGAGACTAAGATCCAAAAGATTATGATCGAGATTGACAGCACCAAGCGCAGCCTTGCTGATGCCCAGCGACGCGTGAAAGAGCTGGGCGCACAGCACCAGCCATCTGATTTGGATGAAGCCCAGGTTGCTGCCCTGGAAAAACAGATTGCCAAAGCCCAAAAGCAGATCGCTCAACTCAATGACGAGAAGAGTGGCATCGAGGAAGAGATCCAGACCTTGCAGAGCAAGATCATGGAGGTCGGTGGTGTTCGGCTTCGCGGTCAAAAGGCAAAGGTAGATGGCCTGAAAGAGCAGATTGGCATGCTTGCTGAGGAGATTTCAAACGCGGAGGGGCAGCTGTCCAAGAACGACAAACTCATCAAGAAGCACTCCAAAGCCCGCGATATCTCAGAGAAGGAGATTGGTCAGATCGCAGAGGAGTTGGAGAAACTAGAAGAAGCTGTTGCCAACCAGACCAATGAATCTGCCGACTGGAGACAGAAGGCCGACGAAGCCCAGGAGGTAATTTACCCAAGATCCGCGAGTGTATTGAATTTGCTGCTGACCATCATTAGGCATTGGAGTCTAAAAAGGGCGAGCTGAAGGCCATGAAGGACGAGCTTGACGCAAAGGTGGCTGAGCTCAATGAGACAAGAGCTGCTGAAATCGAGATGCGAAATAAATTGGAAGAGAACCAGAAAGCCCTGGCTGAGAACCAAAAACGCAGTGGTTACTGGGAGGAAAAGCTTTCAAAGCTGACCGTCCAGAACATCAGCGATATTGGCGAAGAGCAGGAGCCTACTGAACTTCAAATGTACACCAAGGATGAGCTAGAGGCTATGAACAAGGATTCTCTGAAAGCTGTCATTGCTGCTTTGGAGGAGAAAGTTCAAAACGCCTCTATCGATTTGTCAGTCATTGAGGAGTACCGCCGCCGAGCTGCCGAGCACGAATCACGCTCGGCCGATCTGACCAACGCTTTGACATCCCGAGACGGTGCCAAGGCACGCCTGGACGGGCTTCGATCTTCTCGCTTGAATGGATTCATGGAAGGATTTGGCATTATCTCTCTGCGCCTCAAAGAAATGTACCAGATGATCACCATGGGCGGTAACGCCGAGTTGGAGCTGGTTGACTCATTGGACCCCTTCTCGGAAGGCATCTTGTTCTCGGTAATGCCTCCTAAGAAGAGCTGGAAGAACATTAGCAACTTGTCTGGTGGAGAGAAGACCCTGTCCAGTTTGGCGCTGGTATTCGCTCTTCACCACTACAAGCCTACTCCGCTCTATGTCATGGACGAGATCGATGCTGCCCTAGACTTCCGAAACGTGAGTTGATCTTATACGAATTATGATGGACACGTATGCTAACTCTTGTTCTAAGGTTTCCATTGTCGCCTCGTATATCAAGGAACGAACGAAAAATGCCCAATTCATTGTCATTTCATTGAGAAACAATATGGTACGTGCCGTTGATGACCGCTTCAAGTTGACATAGCTAACATGTTGTCTAGTTTGAGCTTGCTGCCCGACTTGTCGGTGTCTATAAGGTTAACCACATGACCAAGAGTGTGACGATCGAGAACCGGGATTATATCACGGGTCGATAATGACTGGAGATGAAATACCGCGTTGTTATTTTGACTTTCGGCCTCCTGCCTGGATGAATAGGGTTGTATGCTGTTTTTTTTTTCTCGATGATATCATGGGTCGGGGAGTTTTGGATATTTTCCTTTTACATTCATGCTCGTGCACTTTTAGAAATCAGAACTTGAGTACATCTGTGCATATATTGTCCACCCTTACTGGTGTTATAGCACTGGATTGGTCTTTACATAAACCCATCAATCTACATATATCTACCTCCGGTAATTCAATAACGATATTCTGCCCAGTAAGATTTCAGCAGAACCAGGAACATCTGAAGGCAAGCGGTTAGGCCGGAAACGACGCTACATACCAAGCTTGTGGGCTATATTGAGATAATCTGCTGCGGCTTCAACTGTCGAGGGTTCCCTACTCCTGGCGGGCCACTATCGACAGTATTCGCGCCTATGACCACTCACTGTAACAGGATACGCCCCTTCCCTGCGACAAAGTCAAACGGAACCATCGGAGTACACCTAAACTAGTCTTGGCCAAAGACAAGAGCAGCTTTTTAGAGTCTTCGGGAATTTGCGTAGATCGGAAACCTAAGAATCACTTTGGGATCGGATCTAATTAAGCGAACTTCTTTTGTGAAAAGATTAAGTCATCACCCAACCTTTTAGGTGTCGGAGGTATAAGCTGACATCACTGTGGATGAGTTTCATGAGTCCGAGCAATCATCCTTCATACTCGAATTCACTCAAACATCAAAGATGCTGTTTTTTTTGTCCCGTCCCAAAAGGAAATCCTCTAGGAGAACGGAATCCTCTGGGAAGACAGAATCATCTGCGAAAACAGAATCCTCCCCTGAAATAAAATCGAGCCGTGAGCGAGTATCCAGAACAGTGGGGAATTTTTTGAAAGGTGATACACTCTCTTGGGAAGAGCGTCTCGAACAAGATGGGGATATAAATATTCTCCAAAGATATCGCTTGCAGCGATACTGGGAAGCAGACAGCCCTAATACCAGGCCTGGTTTTATCTCACATAAGCTTCTCTTTACAGAGGAAGACCTCCGGGAAGTTGTTCAAGAAGAGATATCTATTAAGGAGGGGCTTGACTTGCTCAAAGATGCCAAAGAGAGGCTTGATATTTTGAATGCTAAATACTGGCTCTTGGAGTAAATGTGGTGGCATTATCATTCCTGTCTGGAAGATGGGTATGAACGAAATGCGTTTGAGCTATGGCGGTCCCATCCTAAATGGTATATGCATCGCGTTCTCGTTGAAGATTGTGCTAGCCGACAAGGATGCTGTGCTCGTGGATGTGGCTGTTGTCTTGACCGTAAGATCGATCCTACGCGGAGGCTTGGAGTTGGACATTGTACTCTCGAATGTGGGTGTTGTCGGCGAGCTCGAGGCTTTGACGTCCCCAAAGAAGATAGGAGATTGTTGAAAGAACAACGTCGTGAAGACGTGAGCAAACTCAGCAGGCACCGGATCACGCGAGTCTCAATATGGGGGCTTGTCGGTGATAGCTATGTCAGCCCGTTTGATATGATTGACGCGCCACCGAGCTATGGGCAGATTGCAAAAGACACAGATTTGGCAACAAAGAGGGATTAATTCAACTGGCTCATTGGCTTCAATTTATGGATATTGCATCTTGCTCACTATATTATTGCTGTATTTTGATGAATGTACCCGATAAGGAGGCTCGTACCTTCCTAGAAGCCATTGCTTGCCCTGTAGTCAATAACCCAATTTCGTAGTCCATGTAAGAACTTCACGTTCATATCAATTCAGAATATCAACATTCATGATCAGAAATGTCTGTTTTAAGCCTTTTTTTATTGTCTTTTTTTTTACCGTGGCCTGGGCTTGTAAGTTCGATCTCTTTTCTGGCCTCTTTTTTGGCCTCTTTCTAACCTTTTTTTCTAGCCCCAGTGCCTCTCCAACCCCGAGCGGGCGAAGCAGCTGACCTCGTCCAAGGTCATATTACCTATGACCTCTGATGGGCCCTCTTCAAGCCTGGACGCTACATGTTTACCAAGTGTCTGGGGCACTGAAAACCCGAGGCGTGGTATATTTGATGTAGGCGAAGAGATCATGTGCGATGGTGTCACATATTACAAACTCGAAGCCCGCTATCTTGACCATGAGAAGGGACTTTCCTTCGGCTTGAAAGTCGTCGAGGTTGTGACGCTTGCCCTGGTCTTAAGGGAGGCAGTCCTCTTGACATCTTGGTGGATCAAGTTCTGTACCAAGCGGTATGTCACTTGGTCGTTGTGTGGGATATGTAGGAATAATATGCTGATCTTTGGTTCTTTGATATAGCCGCTATAGAAGAGCGGATGCTCGCGCTGCCGAGCTCGCTGCCAACCGTGATGCCACGCGCACTGCCAATGCCAATGGCACTCAAAGACAAGCGGGCCAAGGAAATTGAGCCAGGAGGTGCTGTCGTGGGGAGTATAGGAGGAAGAGGAGGGGGGTGGGCCCTCATATAATTATGATATGCTCATTGGCGAGGAGGGAGGGTTGGCCTCCATTGTATATAACCAACCTGGCCAACTGTATATATCAACAGCGGCCCAAAGCTCTCATCATTATCACAAAGACTCGCATCCGTAGATGTATCTGCTTATATAGTCAATAAAGATGACCTCGTAGCAACCCGAGGAGTGCTGGCTTGTGTATCAGAAGACTCGAAAAAGGTTTCCTGAAAGCTGAACCACGTACAGTGAGCCAATAGATCGAGAGCCCATCTTCGCTCAATTGGTGTAGCTCCGTGCTATTAACTCTCAATTTCTCCATGTCCCTCGTTCGATTGGCATCGATTAGTGAGTCTATATCAATGATCGATGCTCCATCTGGTTTGAGGTCAATTTGTCGTGAACACGAATGTTGAAAGTTTGTAGAGTTCGGTATGGTCTTGGGTATCTTGAAGTTCCGCGGTTCCAAACCGATTAAATGCTTCGCTGCCACCCCAGCCATGACCAAGTTTGCCAAGAACTGGTTGAAACCAGTCGCAAATTCCGAAGCCTGGTCGGTACGCACACCCAGGGGCCAGCGGTATGATGGAAGTTCTTCTATCATGAAGGATAGTGACCCCATAAAAATGAATATCAACAGCTACGTTGGTGCTGATACATATTCTTTCATGGTTAAGATAGCGGGCTTCGAGTTTGTAATATGTGACACCATAGCGCATGATCGCCTATACCACGCCTCGGGTTTTCAGTGCCCAGACACTTGGTAAACATGTAGCATCCAGGCTTGAAGAGGGCCCATCAGAGGTCATAGATAATATGACCTTGTCCCGCAGCACCTGCGCAATTTTGGTGCTGCGAGGTGCTGCGAGGTGCTGCGAGCTAATTTAGAAGATAAATCTTACTATGCTTACGCTCGTACTACGCCAATTAGAAGATGAGGGGATGAGATGCTACTTACTCTATATTCTAGAAAATAAGCCTCATTCTGTTCAGGAAATGCTATAGTCAATCCAATCTGGTAGCGTATGATTGGCGATATATAGTCATTTATCTGCTAGTAGTAGTACGGTATTCAGATCAAGGGATAATTTGGACCATGAGTTTTCAGCTATGCATGAAAGGGGCAGAGAGAGACCATGCAAGGCTTAGTTTACAGCCGAGAGCCGAACGATAAAATTTATCTTTGCAACTACGTAGAATATCAACAACCCTACTATGTATCTAGGCCCTTGCTGACAATTCTAACCCGGTTACGGAGATGCGTGTCTTATACATACATATCGATTGATCGTCATTCTGAGATCCGGAACCACGACGATGAGAGAGAAGACAGGAGAATATACGGGTTGTGTGATGATAGGGTAGAGCCAGGAGTTCATGGCGCCCGAGTCGCTGTTTCCAGGCCGTATCCTTGAAACTGTCCATGCGAATGAGAGCGGGTACAACGTGCGGATTCTTCAGGTAATGGTAAGCATTAGGTGAAACCGGCTCCAACACGATAATGTTATGACGAATGGTGGTACGATATGTATATGAGCTTGGGAAGGGCAGGTTCCGCCATCTCCCGGACACGTGTGGTTGGACAAGGATTATTAGGTCTTTCGGGTGTATTATTAGAGTGGCTGGATAATGTTTCAAGCTTGAGCCTGTTTGAGCTACTTACGATAGAACATAGGAACCAAGTATACTACAAGGGTAACTCGTTATGTAGGCTCTAGGGCTGTTTCTGGGCATTTATCCACGACATGGCCCGAATCATCCGTTGATTTCCTTCCCCGCATGTCAGACTAACAAGACAAGACTCTTCATGGTGTGACATGCATATCTAGGCAAATGCATGTGGGTTTGCTGCAATGCTGGGGACTCCGGCAGGTCGGCACGATATTCCCAATTTAGATCGGCTCTTGAAATTTCTTTACAAAACATACGGACCCTTGCAAGCGAGAACAGATCACCCATATGGAACATTCTGTTTACTTTTTACTACAAGTACCATTTACTACACCACCTCGTAGTCAATGAAATGATCTAATAAAAGAACTGTGTTCATTGACCAATTACTACTAGAATACAAGACCAAATTAATTCCCAAGTTTTTTGGCCCTTCCACGCTTCCTAATCTCGATCAAGACCTTCTTCCACTTCCGCTTCGTTTTTTCTTGATCGGCTTTCTCGCTCAATGCATACTCTTTTCGCTTCATTTCTTTGACCTGGGATGAACTGATTATACCAGCAATTGGAATATGCCGGCGAGGTGCATCATACCGGGCGTTGCGTGCCCCCATAATAGCATGTGTACGATCGAGTTCCCGCTGTAGCTGAAGAGCCAAAGTAGCCTGGGCCTCAGCACCCTTTGCAAGCTTTGCTAGCCCATCTTTGAAACGCTGAGTATTTGGGTCGGTTCGATTGAGACGATCGCTTATTCTTCGAATTTCCTCGGCGGTTTTTGGAGTGCTAAACTCGGTGTCTTGAGAGCTGACTGACGGGGTATCCGGCCGGGGTAGATTATCATCATGTGGATTGGATGACTCTAATTCAGTAGGAAACAGATTAGGATTACGTTTCAGGAAACGTTTTAGCCAGTGGTCGCCGATTCTTGGGGGTTCTGTGGTAGGGTCGTTGTGGTCATCCTTCAGAATTGAATCGGCAGCGTCAGTTATTTGTCGACGAGTTATTGATGCTCCGACCGCATGAAAAGAAGCAATGATTGCACATAAAGCCTTCTCCTGTGCAGGATTGAGCTTCCGACCATTGGGTTGTCGTTCAAAAAGCGATTTTCCACCTCTCCAGCGCCGACGAAGGCGGCCTTCGGGAACCGCGAATTCTCGCGCAGTCTTCCGAATATTAGGCTTGGATTGGTCTGAGAGAGAGTCCATGGCCAGCTGGATCTGCTGCTCTATATCTTTATTTGTTTTAGGCATGGTTGGTGGTGTGGCAGAGGATCATAGTAAAGATGTAAAATGTAGAAAGAATGTTCTATGTGGGTGACCTGTTTCATATGGGTCTCGCTTCCGAGAGTCAGTATCTTTTGTAAAGAAGTTTCACGGGCCGGTTTATTACGAGAACGATGAAAGTCAGCAGCCAATCATGGCATCAAACAAGAACTTACTGCAACTAAATTCCAAGTTTGTGCTGTGCGAAAGAGAAGATCGCTGCTCTTTCCAGCCGCCAAGACCGACAGCCGCTTGACGTCAGAAGCGGGATAAGAGGAGGTTGGGGTGCGCAGTCAAGAGGGGAAATGCGAGATTCTTGGTTGAATAAGACTTGAGGCTCTTGCGCTGGGTTTCCCTTTTTCCCTTTCTCATCTGCTGCATGGGTGATTTCGTCTCATTCATACCCACGTTTTTTTTTCGGGTGCTGGAGTCAAGATCGCATCGAGACCCACTGTACGGAGCACTGCATGCAATTGCCAGCCACCAGGGACTGAAATCTCAAATCTCACGATATCAAATCAAAAGCATTGCTAAATAGATAGTCCACAGGCTGCAGTTATGGTAAGCGCATACCTAGGTATCCATGGTCGTTACTGAAGCTCTCTTCCATGGCTCACCCAAGTAACACCCGCGCGGGCCGAACAAAGAACCACGGATCGCATAGTCTGGAATTCATAAAAGCTAATAACTCCGCTTCTCCAGGCTCCTATAAACTCCATGCTCGAGACCCGGCAGTCAAGCGACGATAACTGCCCAAGCACAATCAGCGGCGGTGGGATTGCGGGTATCGTTATCGGCTCGATCGCAGGGACCCTCCTGATCCTCTGGCTGTGGCGAATACTCCGACTTCCCGGCGTGTGGAAGAATGATGCGTCTGAGGTCGTCTACCAGGCCCCGGTTATTCGCAGCAGCACCAAGACCCGCGGGCGGCGACATCGCCGTCGCCCTTCTGCGACGTATGTCGATTATGTCGAGAAGCCGGCTAGTGTACGCAGTTCACGCCGATATAGCGATCGCGATGATTTGCGCCGGCCGGCTAGGGTTTATAGGACGGAGGGGTGAATTATGGTATTATGGTGGGGATCATACATGAGAAATGTGGAATTGCTGGTGTGGGGGAATTGATTTGGCCATTGGTCTCGAACATATCAATTGGGACTGGCGTTTGCTATTTTTGGGTGGTTTCTCGAAGGAATGGCCGGACATGTTTGACGGAGCAATGTTGGTTATGAGGCATGACAGCATACATGTGATTGCACGCTTTTACGACTTGACGAGAAATACTTGAAATGGACTTGGTCTGTGCGTGTGATACTTCCTTTGTTTTGAATTGGGAATCCGATCTATGCTGTAGACGCCAGCCTTCCGAGTCTATATCCCAGTGCATGGCCAGAATCTTTTTCAGCCCTTGTAATGCACATTCACATGTGGCGGATGTCTACGTAATCCAGTCGGACGACTTGCTGACGGGGTACTTGGCTGTTTGTCACCGCCGAGCAGTGGCGTTCGATCGATCAGAACTCCCGAAGTTTCCCCTAAGGGAACTCTTCGCCAGCGAAGCAGACTCCATCCAACGGCGAACGAAAAACGCCGCAGCCGTGATCTCACCATTTCGACGAATAAGAGGGGGAGGCGATCGTTCGGGAAAGTGCATTATGTATTACATTGTACATAATGAGCGGGTTTGCAGGCAGGAAGGTAAGACAGGGGAAAGGGCCCACAGGGGAGAAGAAAAAAAAGAAAAAGCAAAACTGTTAGACATCTCCACTCATTGACGGGGCGGACTTGGCTTCTTAGTGGCTTTGTTTTGGACCCCCTGAGCGGAATACTAGTTTGGTAGGGTCGGAGGAACTGGAGGAACTCTGAAAATAAGTTATTGTTACACTGTTGTTATGATTATGAAGATGTTGTTTTCAAGGGGCACATGCATGATGATCTATCTGTAGTCCAATCCTGGTCTTACCCCGTGGCGATTCTTATCAATTGGGCTTTTGATCTTCATTGCAGAGGTTTCCCTTCCCCTCGAATGGCCAAGGCGTGAGCTAAACAGCCAGTCTTGTCCTGCGTTTGAGCCAAGGGATTATTGCAGCTAAAAATGGAAAATGACATACTACAACACACTGTTGATGTCGTATAAACCTGTTATAGAATCCGGAGTATACATGTTGTTGTACTCCGTATTGTACCTGGCAATCCATCCATGGGCCTGTTCGATCCAAGGTTATCGGGGTCCTTTACAGCCAATCGGTGGATGGTCAGCAGCCAATCAGAATCGCCCGCCTAAAAGTAGTTTTATCAGAAACCACTGGGCGAGCCCAAACAGGTTAGGCGTCATGCACAGGGCCCCTGGAGCTTGACTAAAATTAAGCTAGCGTCATGCACAAAAACGGGACCCCTAGCCTAGACCGGCTAGCTAGTAAACTCAACCATAATCTCTGCAGCCTTCCCCTTACGCCTCTCCAACGGTGCACAACAAAAATGATCAGGGCCCAAGACACCACTAGCCCATAATGTCCCGAGTCCACTCGGCGCCTAAATTGGACTGTCGTGGCTGATTTCCCCCCGTTTCTCGATGTTCCTTCCTTCAACACACTGTTAGGATCTTGCTGGCAGACTGCCTTCCACTCATTACCGTGCACTCGCACATCCACTCTTTATCGAATCTCGAGTAGTCTCGAGTCCATTCCTTTTTTTGGACGGTCTCACAGCAGAACCCTGACCAATCCTCTATACATCAACCCACCATGTTCCTCTCCCACATTGCCGTTCTGGCAGCTTTGGCTAGCTACGCCACCGCTCAAACATCGACCGACTGTGACCCAACGAAGAAGACA